GTAAGGCCTTGAACTTTGTCCTGGGTGGAAGATCCATCTTGATCACCTACACGGGAATGGAGCTGAACTCTGGTCTATGGCAGTGTGTGGGATGCTGAGGAGGTTATGACCCCAGGTGTGATTGACATGCAGGATCCTGGAGTGGGAGGGCATTCCTTCAAGTGCAGAGGAGAGAGCAGAGCCAAGTAGCCTCTCCAGGTACCAATCCTTGCAGGGGCTGCCTCATTTGGAATATATGGCTTGTTCCATTCTCCCAGGCTTCAGGGCTGGTAGGAACACTCCCCCACAGCAGCAGGGCAGCATGATCCATGTGGGGGGCCTCCAATGCCCATTATCCTGGGAGAGGGGCCAAGCCCCTTGTCCCCGAGTAAGCCAAAACCCCTTCTCTGGAGGCACCTCTCACCTGGCACAGTGCTTGTGAGGCACCTCTCACCCTGGCACAGGGTTTGAAGGTCACAGCAGCAGAAATCTTCGGTGTAGAAGATGATCAGTATTAGCTCCCTTCTCCAAGGCAAAGGGGAGCTGCATTCTAAGAAAATGCTGAGTACATTCCCACTATTTTTCTATGTTTAATTTTCTGCTTACCCTACCGGATAACTCCCAAACAGGGTGAGGGTATTGGACATCCTGACTCTGGCCTCTGTAGTGACCACAGGGACTCTGGACCTTGGCTTAACTCTGTGGAGATCCCTGCTGCCTCCTCTTTGAGAAGGGATCTAATAGGGTATGTCCCTGACCCTGGCCTGGTCCTAAGGAGACAAAGGGGAGAGACCTTGGTAAAGAAAGCATGTGTGGAGAAGCCGTGGTACTGCCCTGCCCTCCCGGGCCCAGAAGTTTAGCAAAGGTGGCACTCAGGTAAGTAAGGAGAGCCCCATCTTGGGAATGAGGGGAGGGGAAAACGAGATTAACATCTGTATGTCTTGGGCTAGCAGGGGGGTCCTGGAAAGTGTCCCTTAGGACCTGGTGGCCTTCGAGTGGTTCCTGGAGTACCAGTGAGCCTAGGTGTGTACTGATGTTGACACATTTCAAGAAAACTAGGCATTTCTAAAAGATGGATTGGATCAGTGGTGACACACCTATGGCATGCATGATTCGGTGGGCTGTTTGTATCACTGAAAGCCTAAAAGGTTCGCTGTCCCTGGATTAGGTGGTACAGAAGGACTGTGAGTGGAAGCTGAGGGTCAGGCTTTGTAGTCAGGTTGACCGCCTCATCTCACCCTCTCATCCCGCAGTCCATACCTGCAGACACAGGTAAGCAGCGATAACAACCATCCCCACAGCACTGCCTAATGAAAGGCAAGGACAAATAATAATGATAGTAATAATAATAGTAATAGGGCAATAATAAATAAAGCATCATCATCATATGATTCTGAGGACAAAGTTGGGCACAGCCTTGTTATTTTTATCGTCATCATCGTTTGACACTGTCAGGTGGGCAGCATTGAAGGGACGAGGACCATTAGCTTCCGTCCTGCCTTGGGGGAGACTAATGCATTCAGATCCTGACTGCTCAGGGGTCCTGGCTCTGAGGCCTGCTGGGCCAGGTTGTCCTCCCTCCGATAGACTGGCTTCCTCCCTTGTGTCTCCTGCTGTCTCTTCTGCTCTCTAGGACACATCTCTTATCTTCCACTCTCTCTGTATCTCTGGGTTTCCATTTTGCCATTGTCTCCTCTGTCTTGCTCTGCCTTGCCTTCTCATCCAGTCTCCCTGACATCCTCATACCATGGGGCACCTAAGACTGAGGGGAGGTCACATTCTCAATGACTGAAACTGAGCACCCAGGTGACCTCCTCCCAGGAGCTGAGCTTGCACCAGGCAAGACTGAATCCTGAGCATGCTGTGGCTTGGCCCAAAAGCACTCTGCCTAGCATGTATACCCTAGTAAGCACAGCAGAGAGGACAGTGCAGAATGAAGAATCAGCTTGCCTAAACTGAGCTTCCGTGAACACGGAACCAGGTGTGCTGTCAGCTCATCCCAGGGGACAGCACATGGCCTGCAAGAGACAGGGCTCTACAGAAGTGTGAGTCAGAAGCAAAGCAGAGGCTCCGTGTCTCGTGAAGGCTGGGTGGCCCTAGGCATGTTGTCCTTAGCTTTAGGCTGAGAATCCCTCCTTTGTGAGGTTGCTACCCTCAAAACCAGTCCCTGGGGCTCAGGGTCCTATCTGAGGCTAAAAGACCGGTTTTCTTTCTAACAAAGTGTGATTTCAGGCTCTGTTTGTGTCTATTATGCAGAAAGACATCCTGCCAGCTGCAAGGGCATGGGATTGTGGGCTTAGAAATGGAAATTTCTCCTTCTCATCCAGCAACCACCAGCTCAAGCAATCCCTGAGGGTGGGGGGTTGTTGCAACTTGAGGCCCCAAGACGGAAAGTCTCACAAAGCCCAAGGAAGCATCTTCTCTGTGTCTTGATTACGTAGCAAAAGCACAAATGCTGCTGGCTTGGTTGTGAGGGTGCTGATGGCTGTGGGGAGAAGCCACAGTGCTTCCAGCCAGAGCACTCAGCAGGAGAGAGACGTGGTCCTCACCCCCAAGGAGCAGCTCTGTTATAGGACCACCTGGCCCAGTGTCCTGCTAGGAGGGGCCAGGCTGTTCTGGGAAGGCTCAACTGCTGCTTGTGGATCCTGACACAGCTCTGCTCTTTCTGATTTTCTGCTCTTCTCCCTTCTCAGGTCTGACAATGTTTCATTTATGCCTCTGTGGTTGTGTGTGTGTGTGTGTGTGTGTGTGTGTGTGTACATATGTGTGTAATCAATAAAAATGCAATTAACCAAACTATTTGAAGATGTGGTTCAGATTTCACATTTGGTAGCTGTGCTGCCGACTTCCTTTTTACCAGGGTCCTGATCACAGGAGTCTGTGTCAGATTTTACTGGCAATTTGGTGGAGCTATTAATGCATTAATTGAGATAAACACCCTGTCGTGCTGACGCATTTGGGAGGTTTATTAAGAACCGGGAGCAACTTTGTACTGCAACATGGCTCTTCCCCAAAGTGAGCTGAGCACCTCCACCTTATGGAGAGGACTAAAGAATGTTGATTAAATTATCCAAGTCCTCATCAAAGTGCCAGAAGCTTCCAGTCAGAGGCAAGGATGCTGGGCAGGCAGGTGCTTAAAAGCGACACGGAACAGGAGGACAGCCATGGATTCAAAGTGGTATAGACTTTGGCAGCTTTTAATGACTGGAACGGACCAGAACCCCCATAGCTCAGCTGGACAAAGTGACCAATTAACTGTGTAGAGCCTGGTGGTGTGCCCACCACTCTTGGCTGCCGTTGCTGTTATCTTAAGACTTAGTTCCCAGTTACTGTGTCCAAATATTGTGAGATAGACACACTTTTGAGATTAGTTGTAGGATAAAACAATATTTGATGCTTTTGGAGGCTAGGAGAATACTAACGGCAGGAGCTCTGTGATTTTAAAATTTCATTACAAAGGTTTCAGCTTTCTTTTCTCTTCTCCTAATCTTCTCTCCTTCTGCTGTGAAAAACTGCACAAAATAATAATTAGGCAGGATGTAGACGTGTGGCTCTGAGGAAGCAGAGGGCCTGGGGACCAGAAGAGACTCAGCCCATTGCAGGGAGAGAGAGCGCCAGTCCTGGGGGAGGCTGGCAGGAGGGGAGAGATGATTTAATCAGACACCAGGTTTGCTGCAGGGGACTTGGGCATCTGAGGGTTTGGATGGAACCAGCTTCCTTCTCCTGGTAACCACAGGTTAGGTTCCACAATCCCTAGATGTCCTTGTGGGAAGGGCTGCACCTCCGGTCACTCCTCTTCTTGAGAAGGGGCTTGTAATGTGGGTGCTAGAGGGCCCTTGTGCTCTTGGGGGCATCACCTCCACAGGCGGTGTGACTAAGTCCTATTTTCTCTCATCTCCCTTGTGCTCATGAAGTCACACTCTGGGGACATGGGCAACCATGGCATCAAGGTCTCTAAATGAAACCAGAGAGCCCAGAGGTGGCAAAGGGCTATTCTGTCACCTCCCTTTTCCTGTCAGAGAGAGGGTGTCTTAGTTACTTTTCTCTCGTTGCTGAGACAAAATACCCAACGCCCAAAATGAAGGAAGGAAAGGTTTATTTAGCTTACAGTTTGTGGAGGTTTCAGTCCATACTAGGCTGGCTCCAAGGCAGAAGATAGCA